TGTAAAAGCATCATCTGCAAACATGTCTGGTGTAGGGTGTAGAGTTTTTCACACCTACATCTTTTTATCCTGCCTGGCTGTCAGTAAAAGCCTCAATCCCAGGGAAAATACTTTGTAAATAAATGCTTTTGCAAAACCTAAAATTATAGAATGGTAATGAATGCAAAAAAGGTGGCTATCGAACATTTCAAAGACCTTTCTCTTCAACCAGTGTCCTAAATAATGTTAATTCTAGATATAAATCCCTTTTCAGACATGTCATTGTCAAATATGTTTTCCCAATCTGTGGTTTCCCTTTTTACCATGGTGATGGTTTTGGATGTGCAAAGGGATTTTATTCTTAGAAGGTGCCATTCATGTATTTTATCCTCTCCTGGAAAAAATATTTGGCAATGACATGTCTGATAAGGGACTTCCATCTAGAATTTACAGAATACTCGAGGGTCACAACAAGATAAACAACCCAATTGAAAAATTGGGACAGGATATGAACAGATATTTCACCAAACAAGACATTCAGCTGGCGAACAAACACAGGAAGAAGTGTTTAAAATCCCTAGCTCTAAGAGAGATGCACATCAAAACAACTATGAGATATAACCTCACCCCAGTAAGAATAGCAAAATTCAACAGAGCAGCAAACACCAAAAGCTGGTGAGGTTGTGGAGAAACTGGAACCCGTATTCACTGTTGGTGGGAGTGTAAAATGGTGCAACCACTACGGAAGGCAGTGTGCCGCTTTCTCAAAAAGTTGGAAATAGAAATACCATTTGACCCAGCAATTCCACTCCTGGGAATATACCCTAAAGAAACCATAACCACCACCCAAGCAGATGTATGCACATCCATGTTTATTGCTTTGTTCACAATAGCAAAGAGTTGGAAACAACCCAAGTGTCCATGAACAAACGGATGGAGAGAGAAGCTGTGGCATATTCACACAATGGATCATGCTGAATTGAAAAAAACAAAGAACTCATGAAATATACAAAATGGGTGACCCTGGAGGACATTATGCTGAGTGAAATATCTCAGTCACAAAAGGACAAATACTGCATAGTGCCACTGTTGTAAAATGGGACTGACATCTGGGTTGGGGGAAACCTAAGAGGGGATAAATAATGTATACCACATTGAAACAGATGAGGGAGAGAACTGTTTAAAGAAATGCATAGTAAAGTGGACTGGGGACTTAGGGGGAATTGGATAACAAAGAAAGAATTTTTTTTTTTTCTTTTCAAAGAGAAAAACGAACTGTGAGAGGGGTGGGCAGGGAGGAAAATGTGCAACAATGAATGGATGGGGAAGAAGTTAAATGGAAAGAATATGCTGTAAAAATATATATGTTGCATTAAAAAAATCATTAATAAAAAACGCAAGAGGAAAAAAAAAGAATGTTAAGACTTTGCCCTTTTGGAAAGAATGGGTTGTGCACACCCACTCTTAACGCTGACTCCACCCCCGCACCCAAGGATCACGGTCCAAGCGAGGCCGGTTCCTGCGCAGGCCCCAGGGGAAACAGCCCATACCGCCACCTCCGACCATCCTCCTTGGGGGCTGCAGCGGATCTTTTTAGCCACAGTCCGCCCGTTCCACGGTGCATCATGGTGGTGAGTCCTTTGCACTGTCTTGCTCAGGTCCAGCGCACCCTGTCTGCTCTTCCGGGAATTTAGCCCTGCCTCATCCCCCTATGACCTCAGGCCTCGACCCCTAGGAGTCACACCCTTACCCCAGGCTCTTTCTAGCTGCCCCTTCACTACCTCTCTGTCCCCTTGCAACGCAGCCTTCGGAGTTCGTGCATCCTCAAGCCCCCGTTCGCCATCCCCAAACCCTCGCCCCGCCATTCTTCCCCTCCTCTCGTCTGGCCTTGCCCGGGCTTCTCGCGCTGCGAGCTTGCCTCTGCTGTAGCTGCCCCTCCTACCGCCCGCCCCTACCCCACCCCTGTCCGACTGCCCCTGTCCTCTCCCTCCCCCTACGTACGACTGGCACCGCCCCGGGCTCCGCGCTCACTCCCGGCCGCCGGGACGCACGCTCTTTCACTCCGTCTCCTGCCGTCCCTGCTCGGTTCCCGACTGCTCGTTATGGCCGCTGTGGTCGCGAGACTGGGACGGAGTTGGTGCTCAATCTCCAGATGGAGGTAAACGCCGCGGAGCCCATCTCCACCGGCCTTCCAGGAGCACCCGGGTTTCCCAGGCTGCGATCTGGCGTCTGCGTTCTTTGTACGGTTTTCCTGGGGGCAAGTCCTGTTAATTCTCTTACCAGGCACCCTCCTTCTGGCCTCTCTGCCTCCGCCCCCGCGTCCTCCCCTCCCCTGCCCCTGCCCTTTGAGTGCTAGTCGCCTGGCTCACTGCGCCCTGTTAGGTCCCAAAGGACTGTGGGGGAGGCATGGTGCGTTTTGCATCCGCCCGCAGCTTGCCCTAGGGAAAGTTTGAGGAGTGGTGCGAGGGTGTTTCTTCGTGAGGTCTACGAATACTGCAAGCTCTGCTGCTTTTCTCAACGCTACGGAAGTTCAGGGCCTTGTCCTGGGGGAAGGGTAAAGGATTTGCTTTTTAGAGAATACTTAGGGGCTGTGTTAAGTATGTGGGTCAAACTTTCGCCAGTGAAAAACACACTATCTGTGTAAAGAACAGAAAAGTGCTAGACTATGGAGATAACCTTTAAATGGTGGAATTACCAGCAGTTTCCCCCACTGGATTTTTTTTTTCTCTAAAACAGTCAATGTTTGCATCATTTTTAAACACCACACTTACTTTAAATAGCTGAGTGGTTCCCTTTTGCACCACATTATGTGGAAACTTGAATATTTAGGCCTTCTGTGGCCTGGTGGCCTAAGTATTGGGCTGCTGACCTATAGATTAAATACACCAGGTAAGATCTACTGCCTTGAAAACCCCAGAGGACGTCTCCTTAAGTCAGACTTCACAGCAGTGGATTGGGACGTGAGTGGTACAGAAACCCCAAACTCCGTGTCAGCAAGCCAGAACCAGCTCATAACTGGCCCTCCGTTAGGTTTTCAGAGGCGGTAAATCGCATGGGAGAACATTGTCCATCTCCCAAGGAACACCCAATGCATTCGAACCGCCAGAGAGATGTGGTCTTTGCGTTAGCAGGACAGCTTAAATTTTTCTTTCGTTTCCTACTTGGAATTTGTCAGATGCCAAATGCATAAAAGATAGTGAGTTTTTTAATTCCAAAAAAGGAGTTTCATTATTTAATAAGAAATGTATTGCAGCCAGATTCATTTGAGTTTATTTGCACTTTATCATTCGTTGTACCATCTGAAAGTTAGGTAATTGTAGATTTTGAAACGTTTGCTAGGTTTGGGCTTTATTTCGTCTCTTATTTCACCTTTGATGCCATTCACTTTATTAGGCAGGATCATCAGTGTGAACATTCTCCCCCCACCCTCAATGCGGTCACAAGCTAAAGTTTTCTTTCTTTCCCTGATTTGTGTTCTGGTGAATATGGAGCGCCCGGGGGGCCTAGTGGTAAGAAGCTGTGATGCAATCCCAAAGGCATGCAGTTAGAATCCTTCACAGGAATAGGATGGGCAGTTTCCTCCTGTTCAATTTGAAGACCCACTGGAGGGTCATCTATGGGTCTGTTCTTACTGGACCCTGAATAAAAATACTGATCACCTGATTACAATCTCAGTTTCTTATCTGCTCCTGGCTGGTTGCACAGTGTGCCCCCATAGGTGCAGTTCACCCCTCTCCTAGCACCAGCTCTTGGTGTATGCTTCTAAACACTGCCTAGTCTCAGCTCATCCTAAGTAGGTGTATGTTAGAAAACACGGTTTACTGAGCAGAAAGAAAAAGAATTGACCAAGTAATGGCTTGGGACTGTAGAGGGTGTTTGTGGAATTTTACTAAGTTCTTTCTGTGCATTTTAATCCCCTAGCTTCTGTTTTACTGACCTTTATAATTTTTTTACTTCTGCCTGTGGCAAAATGTATTCCATCAGCTGGGTTCTGATTTTTATAGTGTCATCTTCTGAATTATAGTTTCCTTGGAGGAAGTCTCATCAACAGCCTGTTATGCAAATGACACAACCTTGCTTACTGAAACTGAGGAGGACCTGAAGTGTTTGCGGAAGAAGGTCAAGGACTGTGGTCTTCAATATGGATCGAAGCTCAACATCAAGAAGACAAAGACTCTCACCACTCGGCCAATTGGCAAAACCATGATGGTTGGAGAAGAGATTGAGGTTAACAGTTAACAGTTTGCTTGGTTCCACAGTCAACACTCTTGGCACCAGCAGTCAGGAAATCAAAAGATGAATTGCATTAGGTAAATTTGCTTTCCAGAGTACTGAGAAGCAACGATGTCAGTCTAGAGACTGAGGTGCGTCTGATCCAGGCCATGGTCTTTGCAGTTACTTGCTATGCATCAAAGAGCTAGATAATGACTAAGGATGACAGAAGAAGAATTGATGCCTTTGAGTGCTGGAGAAGAGTCTTAAACAAACCACGGACTGCCAAGAAAACAAATAGTTCTGTCTTGGAGAGAGTGAAGTCAAGTTTCTCCTTGGAGGCTAGGATTTTGAAGCTCCATCTTACATATTTTGGGCATGTGGCCAGGAAGGACTGATCCTTGGAGGACATCATGCCCAGAAGGGTGAAGGGACAGCACAGGAAAGACCCCAGATGAGACAGATTGATACAGTAATAGGGTAATGGGGGTAGGTGTATCAGAGTCGGTGAGACTAGCTCAGGACAGGACAGGCCTCAGAGCTATTGTACATAGAGTTGCTGTGAGTCACAGCTTACTCAACAGCACATAACAACTCTGAAGTTACTACAGTTAGTTTCTTTACTGATTTCTTACCCAAATTGTTAAGAAAAGCACTAATAATTTACAACTAACTTGTTGGGATATGTATAAATATTTAGACAAGGCAAAGCATGTTGGTCTGTAAGAGTCAGGAATAATCGGAAAGCCAAATACTAATGTCTCTCTCTAAGTTCTCAGCAGGTCATTAGTGGTGTTCCAAGACTTCAGCTTCACTTCACCAGAACAGCAATGGGTGCCAGTCAGAAGGACTTTGAGAATGCAGTGAGTCAACTGAAACTCTTGACACAAGACCCAGGAAATGAAGCAAAGCTAAAGCTCTATGCACTCTATAAGCAGGTAAATGCCAAAGATCTGATTATAAGCAGATGACTTTTCACATAGATAGGCTGTGTGTTTTATGAATTCACCTTTGATATTTTTGCCATGTTCTGCCAAAAAACCTTAAAGGTAAGGATGGTGAAATTTTATTTCACATACTTTGGACATGTCAGGAGACCAGTCCTTGGAAAAGACATGCTAGAAAGTAGGTCATTGAAAAAGAGCAAGACTTATAGTGAGATGGTTTATACAGTGACTGCAGCAATGGTGTCGAGCATGATGATGGTCAGTCTGTTGCTCATAGAGTAGCTCAGAGTCATAGTCGACAGACAGCACTTAACAACAGTTACAGCCATTCCTCTGAAAAATGTATACATGTGAGTTTTTCTATATTTGATCCCTACAAAGTAAAAGACAATTGATATCATATATCTTATCTAGAATAAATGAACTGAAAATGATCTTTTGAGGCAACTAGGGAAATTTGAATATGACTAGGTACTAGATGATATCTAGGTATAATTAATAGCATGGCATTGAAGAATTATTAATAGAATTGTAGAGATGTAAGAAAATGTTGATTTTCTTTTTTAAAAAATTACTATGGGCTAATTATTTAGGAGTGAAATAACATGGTTTGGAGCATTCACTAAAATAATTGTGTTGTTAAGTGCCATTGAGTCAACTACAACTCATAGTGACCCTTTGAACAGTGGATCTGAACCCTACCCTGTCCTGTACCATCCTCATCAGCTCTGACACCCTTTGCCCACTGTGTCAATCCAACTTGTTGAAGATTTTCTTCCTCTCTTTCACTGACCTTTCCAAGCATAATATCCTTTCCCAAAGATTGACCTTTCCTAACAGCATGCCCAAGATAAGCGAGGTGAAATTTCACTATCCTTGCCTCTACGTCGCACCCTTGCCGCACATTTTTTGAGCCATACATATTGTCCTTTTGGCAAGCCAAGTGATATTCAGCACTCTTGTCTAACACCATACAACTCAAAGATACTAGTGGGTTAGTGGAAGGAGTTGCACGGCCAACCCAACGGCCATCAGTTCGAATCCAATAGCTGTTCTGCAGGAGGAAGATGAGTAGTTTTCTCCCTTATGATGTTACAACCTCTGAAAAGCCACTGGTGAATCAGATATGAATCAGTTTCAAAAATAAGCAGAGTAAAAAAAAAAGGAAATTGGTGAATTATAACAGACTTGATAATTGTTGAGTTTGGGTGGTGGGCATTGGTGGTTTGTTACAGTATTCTACTTTTGTGTATTGTGAAAATTTTTAAAGCAGAATTGAAAACATAAGGTCTTCTAAGTTGCAACATCCAAAACCCACAGATGACAGTGTTGGCAATCATCCTGCTTTCCTCTGTGCTTCTCCTCTCCTGTTGATGTGCTCTTTAGAAGCCTGCCTTACTTTGGCATGGCTGTGCAGTGGAGAATTTCCCCTTGCCCAGAAGGAGGCCTGGTTTTTGCCCTCAGCCTCTGGGAGGTGCTCCTTAGACCCTTGGAATGCACTGCCTGACTGGAGTGTGTTTGTTCATCTGGGGGCCTTGGGTTATACCAGGTGATTTAGCAATGTGATTTAGAGTGGGGTTTGACCATACCGGGTAATAACAAGTGAAGGTAAGAGCAGAAGCAGCTTTGGGTCACACTCTGGGGGACTGGAGCCCTAATAAAAAGCTTGGACAGTGCAGCTGGGGGAGTACTCTGTGTGTTTCCACATACTGGACACGCAGGAGCTTGGAGTTTGAACGCCCCTGGACTCTGCCCTTCACTGTTATATCAGTGTCCTGTCCTTTAAAGACTTGTGAGTATAACCACTTCCACTTAGTTTTGTGAGTCCTACTGAATCTTGGGCCATCCCTGCATCTGCATTTGGATCAGAAGGAAAGTATTCTTGGGACCTTTCTCCCTCTGTCTTCTCAATTGGCTCCCTCTCTGTCTCTGCTTGTAGACTTTTAGCTTCTTCAGTGCTCTTGTATTTTGAACTTGTTCCTCTTGCGTCTTTTAACTAATCATAAGAGTGAAATGTTTAAGTGGAGTTTTAAATGGACATTTCTAAAAGGCAACCAAATGGATATTTTGTCTCTTACAAAATCCCTACTCCACCTACCTGTGACAATAAAATTCACTTAGTGCTTGCTTTGTACTTGCATATCCTCCATTAAGTCCTCTATGGACTGCTCAGTGGCCTGGGCTCCTGCCAAATTAGTGATGTTTACACTGTGGCCTTCTAAATGCTGGCTAATCCATCATGATGGTTGTTTGTATATTTTGATTGTATTTGAGAAATGTGATTATTGATATAAAACTGAACTATTAAATAAATAAAACCAAAAAGCCTAACTCTCCAGAATGCCCATCTTGCAACACTTCACATGTCCAAGCAGTTTTAGAGACTGATGGTTCCTACACATTTTGCTTCTTCAGCCTCTTGTTATTTATGTACCTTTAGCAACAGCATCTGAGGACAAAGAGAGTCATGGAGAAACTGAGGTAGTTTATATGCTCTGTGAAAGAAGGGGAGGTGACAATGCAGCTTTTTTTGTTAGCTGTTGAGTTTGTGGATCTTAAGGAGACAGGCTCTTGTAGGTTTTTGAGCGTTCTCTGCCCCATACCTTTTCACAGGCCACCGAAGGACCTTGTAATATGCCAAAACCAGGTATGTTCGACTTGATCAATAAGGCCAAATGGGATGCATGGAGTGCCCTTGGCAGCCTGCCCAAGGTGAGTTTGCACTTTTGTGCTTTTATTTTATTTGTTGTACTTCCTGTAAGGGATACTGGTGCTTCATATAATCATGCTATTGTAGATGGAACCTTCAGGATCTTAGTTTCTCTTTCTCTCTCTACTCTTTATTGCAAGATGCTATTCTTAAGTTAGTAAGTTGCCCAGCCTTTGTATTTGTTGGCTGTGGCCTGAAGCTCTCTGCCTTTTCTTCAGGAAACTGCAAGGCAGAACTATGTGGAATTGGTGTCCAGTTTGAGTTCATCTGAATCCTCAAGCCAGGGGAAGGCTGGTGCAGACAGGACACACTCCGAATACAAAGGCCTTCTGGTGTCTTCAGAAGATGGCATCACAACGATCACATTTAACCGTCCCACCAAAAAAAATGCAATCACCACTGAGGTAATGTCTGCCTCCTCTGGGGATTGGTTAGGCACACTTATCTTTCTTTTCGTCCTTCTGTCTCTGTAGTTTTGTCATTATTACTATTTTTGTGATATTTCTTCTTTGGTTGTGCAGGAAGATTGGTTATTGTTACCACTCTTCACTGTAAAGGTGAGCATTCAGTGTTCAGGATTTTTGAGCATCAAGTAAGGTCTTCATGCACAGAAGACTCCACAATCTCCCTAGTAATAGAACAACATAAGTTAATATGTATTAAATATGTGGCAATATCACAGAATATAGTGGCCCTCCTGGGTTGATAAATGGTCATAAAATGCTCCCAGAGCTATCCTCATACCACTTAGACTTGAGATTAAGGACAGTTTGTTTTTGGTTTTATACAGATAGAGTGAGAAAGGAGGTAGGACATGTTCAGCCCTGATTGAAATGAATGGATTTGCAAGGGTGATTTTATTCTGGTTTTTAGTATAATATTCAAGAAAAGGTGGGTAATTTAAAAAACAAAACACTCTAACCATGAAACTTCTCCATCCATTTTTTGTAAAAAAAAAAATAAATATGAGGCGTTAATTGGATGCTTGCTACTGAACTAAAAGAGGGCTACCTGAGAAGCAGCTAATAGCAAGAACCCCTTTAATTGGATGCATATGCTACATTGTAGAAGAGAGAATCCAACCAAACGCGTAATAGTGGAGTAGATCCCGCTTCGTGGCTACTCCTGTGTTACAGAGAACTGCCTCCAATAGGGTCTTTAAGACTGTGACCTTTTGAAAATGGATCACTGGGATGTTCTTCCAAAATGCCCACAGGTAGTTTTGAACTGCCAACCTCTTGGTTAGGAGGTGAGCACTTAAGTGTTTGCACCACCCAAGGACTCCTAGACTAAGCATAGGTATGTAAAATAATCTTAAATCGTAATTCCTTAAAGTTGCCTATGTGCCACTCAATTAATAAAACTTTTCATTCTCAAAAACTTTACATCCCCCAGCAACAATAGCAAAGTTCAACAGGTCAGCAAACAACAAATGGTGGCGAGGTTATAGAGATTAGAACTTTTACTGCTTTTGGGAATGGGTACAGCCATTATGGACGGTATTCTGGCACTTTCTCAGAAAGTTGAAAAAAGAAATACCATTTGATGCAGCAATTCCATCACTGGAAATAACCACTACAATTCCACCATTGGAAATATACACTAAAGAAACCAGAGCCATGATGCAAATAGATGTATGCACACCCATGTTTATTGCTGTGTTATTCACAATAGAAGAGAGATGGAAGCAACCCAAATGCCCATTAGCAAATGAATGAATAGAAAAACTATGTTACAGCCACACAGTGGAATATTACACAACATTGAAAAACAATGAACTTCTAAAATATTACACAACATAGAGGAGCCTGGAGTACATCATGCTGTGTGAAATATCTCAGTTACAAAATTACAAATACTGCATAACACTGCTGTTAGAAAATCAGACAGGCATTAAGGTTGGGGAGAGAATAGGAAAAGAGTGGACAGATAATAACACTGCATTAGAACAGATGAGGGAAAAAACTATCTGAAAGGAATATATGATTAGACATATATATGACAACAATCTTGAACAAGGGGTGCATTGCAGGGAGGATTGGGGAGGGGGAGCAAAAAGGGGAAGAAAATGTGCAACAATGAGAAAAAATTAAAATAGGAAGACTCATTAACAACCCGCATTATGCTGATGATACAGCCTTGCTGCTGAAACTTAGGAGGACCTGAAGTGCTTGCTGCAGAAGGTCAAGGACTGCAGCCTTAAGTATGAGTTGAAACTGAACAAGAAAACAAAGATTCTCACACCTGGGCTGATTGGCAGTGTCATGATAGATGGTGAAGAGATTGAGATTGTTAACATCGTCAGCTTGCTTGGCTTCACAGTCAGCATCCTTGGTACCAGCAGTCAGGAAATCAAAAGACAAATTGCATTGGGAAAGTCTGTTGTCAGGGACCTCACCAGAGTACTGAAAAGCAAATGTCAGTCTTGAGACTAGGGTGCACCTGATCCAAGCCATAGTCTTTGCAACTATGTTCTATGCATCAGAAAGCTGGACAGTGAGTGACTAGGGATAATAAGAAGAATTGATGCCTTTGAGTTGTGGTGTTGGAGAAGAGTATTGAATATAACATGGACTGCTATGAGAACAAACAGGCTCACCCTAGAGAGAGTGAAACCAGGCTGCTCTTTGGAGGCAAGGATTCTGAAGCTTCATCTGACATACTTTGGGCCTGTTGCAAGGAGGGACCAGTCCTTGGAGAGAGATTTCATGCTTGGTAGGGTGGAGGTACAGGGCAAAAGAAGAAGACTTTCAAGATGGATTGACTCAGTTACTGGGGTAAAGCAGATAGGTGTGTCAGAGACAGTAAGGTTGGCTTTGGATAGAGCAGGGCCCCTATAGGGTCCCTATGAATCACAAGTAACTCAATGGCACATAACATCAACAATGTTAAAAAAAAAAAAACAAACCATGCACCTTTATTTCCATTTTCCCCAACTTCTTGCTGTAGAAGCATAGTAACATGTTACTCTTCATAGCATACCTAGGAGTGTCAGCACTTTTCACTGAGGTTCATTCTCATAAGAAGCTTGTTTTTATCATTACTTGATAATGAAATCACAGAGGTAAAGTATAACTTGTTCAAGTTCACATAACTAATAAACAGGAAAACCTAAATAGAAGTCCCCCCTCCAAGGGAAGAAGATGTGCAGTCTCTTCCCATCAAGATTTTCAGCCTCAGAAACCCTGATGGACGATATGTGTGGCCGGAATCAACCCGAAGGCGCTGAGTTTGAGTTTGGTTTAATGTAGTTGACTCCTAATCTTGACTCCTGCAGCCATCTAATACTGTGCCATCAAATAGTTTATAGTGATGAAGTAGTTACTCCTAATTCCCTCCTTCATCTTAATTTGTATGTTACATTGTTGTTTGTGCCATTGACTCAGAATCAATCCATAGCTGACCTTCTGGTGAGTTTACAGAAGCAGTTAATCCAAGGGAGGAGATTATTGCCCATCCTTCTCCCATGGAGCAGCTGGTGGATTTAGATTCGAACTGCATGCCTTCAGGTTTGCAGTACAGCTTCTGTCCTCTAGGCCACCAATGTTCTTATAAGGGCTGTACATAACATTCTGTATCTTATGTAGAGCCCATAATTCACATTATAGTTTCGTAAGAATTGAATTCCCTCTCTCACTTTTAGTCATATTTCAGGTAAAGTCTATGTTAATTTATTTTTCCAATATCTGTATGTGTATAATTATCAGTCCTTATCATTCCCTTTCATACTGAAATCTACAGGTACAAAGTCTACCTAATTCAAATGAAGTATAAACTAGGACACTGGCACATTAAAACTTTTTGTAAAAGCTTTGATTTAAAATGCTGAGACAATTTTTTTTCTGTGTACCATAACATCTTGGAAATTTCAGGATTTTAGCATTCATTAACATTACCCAGACTGCTTGGAATTCTCTTCCTCCTCCTCCTTGTCACAGCTTGCACATAGCTTCATGGAAGGTCCTCTTCTGACCACCTCCCATCCTGTTTTCCCTATACCAGTCTCAGTGTCTTTCCTTCTGCTTCATTTTTTTCTCCACCTCTCCTTCCATTTTAGCACTCTGTTAAAAAACAAACAACAAATCTACTACTGTTGTGTCAATTTCAACTCATAGAGTTGAAACTTCCATTGTTGTTGTTGTTAGGTGTCATCAAGTTAATCCAGAATTTATGAGTAGCAACCCTATGAACAACAGATCTGACCCTCGTCCAATCCTGTACCAGCCTCACAATTGAACCCATTGCTGTAGTCAGTGTGTCAGTCCGTCTAGTTGAGGATCTCTTTCACTTCTTCTGACCCTCCTCCTTTCTAAGGAATAGCCTCTTCTACCAGCATACCCAGAGTATGCGAGATGAAGCTCCATCATGAAGAAACTTCCAGTAAATCTCCAGAGGTGGGAACTGCCTTATCTTTCTCACACAGAGTGACTTTTGGGGCTGGTGGATTTTTTGCAACCCAGCACATAACTGCTACCAGTGTTCTTTAGCATTATCTGTTAATTCTCAAAGTGCAAAGACTTGCCTCTCTTGTCTTTTTTTTTTTTTAAAGTGGTTGTATCTCTCCAGCATCTACTGTAACACCTGGTATATATTGTCTGTACTAAGTATTTACTAAAGGAATAAGTCACTCCAAACGTGTTGTTGTATCTCTTGTTTAAATACAACCAACATAAATATTTGGCACTTTTCAGAGGATAGGTTTGCAGACTGATACTTAGTGAATCCATTGGGTGATGGTTATCATTTTCAGAGTTAATTTTCTTTTTCTCATCTTCTGTTCACACAGATGTATCATGAAATTATGCGTGCACTTGAAGCAGCAAGCAAAGATGACTCAGCCATAACTGTATTAACAGGTAAGACATTTTCTCCATTCTTGGTTATATTTCATTGGGTTTTTTACTAAATGGGTAACTAGAGTAAATAAGTTCCAAGATTTTTTTCTAGTTCAGAGATACTTTTTAATTCATCACTGTTGTTGAGTACCATAGAGTTGAAACTGACCCATAGCTAGCTCTTAATGAGGTTTCAGAAGCTGCTAATTACACAAGAAGAGATTGCCCAACCTTCTCCCATGGAGCAGCTGGTGGATTCAAACTACGTTCTTAGGGATTGCAATGCAGTTTCTGACCACTCGTTCACCAGAGCTCCTTAATTCATCAAAAGGCAGCAACTATAATTGACAAAAAATTAACGGATTTATAATATAACGGGTAGATATATATTGGTAAGAAAAGCTGGTAACCCAAAGGCTAGAATCTTTCTACCCAGAAGCATCTTAAAAGAAAAGGCCTAGTGGTCTACCTTTAACACAAAATCAGTCGTTACAAACTGAGTCGCAGTCGCTTCTGGAGCAGTTCATTCGGTTAATGGTAGAATAAGCCAAAAACCCGTTCCCCTCAAGTCCATTGTGAATCATGGTAACCTGTAGGACAGAGTAGACTTTTTGGAAGCTAAATAGTTTCCACATCTATAAATCTTGAAGCACATTAAGCAGACTGCTACATCTCTGTCTCTTGGAGCTGCTGGTGGATTAAGACCACCCATCTTTTGGTTAACAGGTTCTTAACCCCTGCGTCACTGTAAGAAAAAAGCCTCAAAAAAACTAAACCCGCTACTATCTAGTCAGTTCTGACTTCTGTTAATCCTCCATTGAGTCTCCAAAGCTGTAGATCTTTACACAAGGAGACTGCCCCTCTTTGTCCTGTGGAACAGCCTTTGGGTTCTCAGTCCTGCTCCTCATGCACCACACACCTGGGGTTCCTCAATGATATTTTTCTGTCATACCTTGCTGGCACTGGTGTGAATCACCATAAGAGATGGAAATAGGTAAAGAAAAGGGATTTGGCATTACATGAAATATTCCTATCCTTTAGCCCAAGAATCCCACTTAGAGAAATGAATTCTGTGAAGATCATGTAAGAAAAGGGTAAGAAAGATTGTTTTGTGGCATTACTTTTGAAATTTTGAAAATGTTGAAACACTCAAAATATGCTGTCAGGATACTAGATCATAGAACATTCACTAAAGTATATATTTGCACCAACCTTAAGATTTAAAATCATAAATTCAGTTATAGAGAAAATGCTTAAGATAGAATTTTATAAAACAAAATTTTTATCAGTGCTGGAATTTTATAAATGTGCTGGAAAATGATATATATATACTGGAAAATTATCTATGTGCTCATCGACCTTGACTGGTGAGAATTTTGAAAATGGATTTGAAAGAACTCTGATTGAGAGGGTGCACTATAGTGTCCTCTTCACGTAGGACCCAGATCAACTTGAGTGTGAATCCTGGCTTCATTCCCTCTCACCTTTGCCTCCTCAGTGGAGAATACTGTTTCTAGTCAATTGTTTGGTTGAGATAATGTCTGCTAGGGACGCCAATGCTGCCTGGCACTGAGGAGACACATGATAAACACTGGTGCCTGCCACAGCAGCAAGGGAGCTCTGATGGTGTCATCTGTGCAGATGCACTGCTAACCCAAAGAGCACACCTCTCTGGAGATTCAAACCCACCTGTGGCTCCTTGGGAGAAAGATAGGCCGCCTCCTCCCTTGTGATTTACAATCTTGATGGTGATGAGAGAGAGAGAGACTGCTGCAGTGGACAGAGATTGTGAGGGTCGGGTAGGATAAGACCAGTTTGATTCCATTGTCAGAGGATCTATATAAATTGGAGCCAACTCAATACACATGAAAATAGCATTGTTTGTTGGCATGGCAGAATCATGGGTGATTTGATTTTCATTAAATGTTACAAAAGAAATAATATTTAGGATAATAGAGTGCTTTTGATAACAAAAAGAGTGAAATCTACTGCAGACAAGGAGGAGAGGCATGAGGGAAAGGGGCAAATCATGTACAGCTTTTATATTTTATTTCCTACATAATTTAGGAAGATGAAGGTAATAGTAACAAAAATGAGTTCTGGAAGAGGCATTGGTTTGAGAAGGGAGAAATTTGTTTTCATTAAGTAGGATTTTGTTAGCGTTTATTTTTAAAAAAGTGTAATATACACAAATGGTTAGAGAGGAAAATATGTTGAAAGAATGTATAAAGCCAAATCTCACTTTTCCTTGGAACCCCATATTCATTCAATAGAAGCACTATTTTCCTTGGTGCCTTCCAGAAATTTCTATGTGCAATCAGGCATGTTCATATGTATTTGCTTCTCCCTATTTTGTTACATAGAAAACATAAAATATACACATAATGCTCACTTTCCTTTCTTAGCATCTAAAAAATAATTTATCAGTACATATCCTGAGTCATTCCTTCATGAATGTGTTACTTTTTCTTAGATTCCATCATTTCCCTCATCTTGCCTCTGTTGATAACCATGTACATTATACTCAGCCTTTTGCTATTAAAATGATACCAAAACAGTGACTTTCTTTAGATCTATGTCTTTCAGCTAACCTGGAAATAAACATAATAGTAGTTCCTTTCATTGCCAAAAAGTTGAAAATTATTTTTTTGCCTTCAGCAGAACACACGCAGATTAACAGAAAGGGCAACCTAGGCAGAACTATCAAGTATGGAAA